ACGAAAAATACAGGATACACGGAAAACCAAAACAAACAGCTTATAGTGTGCAAGCTTACCTTCATTTTGAACGCCCTGATATCTGTGGTGACAGTTTTATAAGATGTTATACAAACGTGGAATGCATTCGGCTTTGACCAGCCCTAAATAGGAAAGGGAATTCATATATGATAATGATAACTCAAAAAGGAAGTTAACCACCAATTATGAACAAATTAATCACTTTTCGTTTCTCTGCTCGGTCTTTTTGCGCCCCAAAATAGGTCAAAATTTTGAACGCTGGACACCATTTTTTGAGTTCCATCTCCCAATTCAGAATGACCGACGTTGGCACGATGATGAGATGAGGACCCCAAATGGATTCACAGCACGCAAGATGAGCCAGTAAAGAAATTGTTTGGATAGTCTTTCCCAGACCTAAAATGAATCAAAAATATAACTTCTGAGAAAAGATACTAGCTGGAGGCTCTACAAAAAGCCCATGAATAAGGGAAAACATCAATGAGCAAACAACAAGTTATTACCCATTTCGTCTGCCAAAATTCCGTTGAGATTCTTCTCATATAAAGTGACCAGCCAGTCTAACCCTACCATTTGATATTCTCGAAGAGTTCCCCTGATCAAGAAAGGCACCGCTGTTTTGACCTATAAATTTGAAGAATCAATTAAAAAAGAGAAAAACAGCTCATAAAATACCCAGATCAACAAACCTGTGTAGTTTCCAGAGTGAATCCTTTCGGCTGAAACTTCAGCGCAGCTTCAGCAATGTTCGCTAGTTCTTGTTGCCGTTCATCGCTATTAACGCTGTTCAGCTTGGCGTAGTCTATACTTTCCAACATTCCTCGACCATCACCGTTGCCCTCCTAGAGACAAAAGGTACGCTTTCCAAACAAAGGAAAATAAATCAAGAGAACAACACTCACTACACTCCCTGTATGTTCTTCTACAGTTTCTGACTCGTCTTCATCCACACTCATTTCTTCGTCCTCGTTAGTCTTATTTGTTTCTCCAGAAGACGTGGTAGGTGGTACATCGTTGCTTTTCGTAGCGTTGCTGTCCTCATCCGATGCTTCTTCGAGTTTCGGACGCTTTGCCCTCGTTTCTTCGCTAGCTTCCTCACTCGCTTTCCGCGCCTAATATAAGGATTTGACCATGACCAAGACAAAGATCAGTCAAAATTCTCACCTTTGCTGCAAGCTGGATCTCCTCCAGAGTCTTGTCATCATCCTCTCCTTCCGAATCGGCTGGAGATTCGGCAGCTGGAGCAGAGTTAGTAGTATTGCTTGATGGTAACTGGACTCCTATTGCAGCCAGATATTCCGGAGGTAACTAAACAATAAAAATAAGGAAAATCAACTGGTAACTGAAAAGTTGATAAACATAAAGTTCTCTAGAACCGAACGAAGTAGAAGAGAAAGCAAAACTTTTGGAAATTCTATGCTGAAGATACAAAAAAATCTACCGAAGCTAGAAAATCATCCAAATCCTCATCCGCTTCCTTATTTAA